TGGCTTTACCCCGAGCTCATTTTTAAAACTTTGCCAAATGGAATATTGCGATATGTTCAGCTCACGAGCCATTTTTCGGCCACTGCGACGCTTTACTTTTCGAACCATTTCTGCTGATGTTACTGTTTTCTACCGTCCACTTTCTTGGCGTCGGGCTACGCTACTAGTATCAAGGTAACGAGCAATTGTACGAGACACAAACGATTTATTCACATTTAAATGCTGGAATGCTCTAACGACAACCACTTGTGGTTTTCCAGCCAAATATAAAGAAATCACACTATCCCGCTTTAATTCCATCACGAATAACTTTAACTTTTTCTCACCCAAATGCTTTTATACGCATGTAGAAAATATAATGAGCTGTCACTGGAATAATTTTAACAGCTGTCGGACTAGTGGCTTAGAAATGACAGCAGTCTGAATTTGGTTGCCGTTTTTTCATATCACTCTGTGTGTATGTTTTATCCGGTTTGATGTTTCAATCCCTCGCATTTGTAATATGCACTCTGTAACAATCAAATTTTTTTCCATGTAATACAAATTTTGGAAAAAATATCTAACTCTCTGTGACATTTTTTAACTGACGCGAGTCTGAAATTTTCCAAAAGTAATAATGGCATATTCTTAACATTTACAGTCAAACAAATCAATATGATTTTCAGTCAGCTCCAAAAAATTCGAGATGCAAACTTTGAAATAAAAAATTTTCTCAAAACAGTCAAATTTCGAATGGAACACTTACTCATAACACCGACTATATATTTATTTTTTTGGGTCAAGATTTTGTTGCGCAATACAATTTGTAACCAAAACATATTTTTATACTAAGCAAAACAAAAATATATTTTCCGCCCTTGTCAAATTGATATTGTCCAACGAAGAAGCAAACGGAATTCAGAATACACTTACACATTCAAGTGTTCATGTTAAAATTGTTGTTGATATTTACATAACAACAATGTATGTGTGTACATGAAATCCAATATGACAGCAAAATTTTCTCAAAATTTGTCACATACCAACCACGGCCATTGAAATTACAATGATGTCATAGGGTTTTGCTAAATCCATACAATTTGTGCTGCTGTTGCTGTTGTTATTGTTGGATGTGTAACACATTTTTATCAACAATCTCACAATATGTTCAACATATAAACAAATATACTTAAACAAGTGAGCACACGCACGCACGCACGCACGCTCTAATACAGGCATATGTTTATATGGTTATCAAATCGTTTGCAATTACATTGCCATAGATAGGAACTCTGAGAGAGAGAGAGAGAGGCAGAGGCAGAGGCAGAGGCAGATAGAGAGAGTGATAACATATAATTGTAAGTGCGTACGTGTAGAAATGTGAGGGTGACAAAATACATTTCATTTCTAGGTTGCGTCATTTTTACGACATGGAAAATACGTGCCTCATTAAGATCAATAAAATGTATGTGTGTGCGTGTGTCCGCAAAGTTGTTCCGATGTGACAGAACCTACGAATGGATGGTTCGTTGGATAGATGAATGCATGCATGTGACTGAATGTAAGGACCAGACAAGTAGTGAGTGGTGTTAATACTTTAATCTTTGTCAAATTGCAAATGGCCGTCATAAAATTAAGTTGGGAACATTGACTAAGTAATCCAAATGAATTGAATGGGAGGCAAATTAGAGCAGAGAGATAATTTCAAAGAAAAGTCCCCTGGTCCATCTAGGCAAATGGACCATGTTATTTAATGATTTAATGATGTGTCAAATAACAAGCATGCTTCGAATTAGTAACAAAATAAAATATGAGATTTAGGAGGTGATTTAATTTTGGGTCGGTCAATCGTAGACATTTAAAGTGCAATAACATTAATTTGGGATGAGTATTAAATGTGGTTTTTGTGTAAATTATAAATTATTTGTGTGGTAGTGAATATTTTGAAAAAAAAATTGAAACAGGTATATGAATTTTAATCCTAAGTACTCCAAGACAAACAATTTTTAATGCACATCGTCTAGAGGCCGAAGTTGGCTATAATAGAGGATTTTAAGGACTATGTTTATACCCTCCACCATATATATTAAGTTCATCATTCCATTTGCAACTCATCGAAACAACAATTTTAGAAGTATATATTCTTGATCAGCGTAAAATTCTAGGAGGATTTAGCCCTGTATGTATTTTGTAGTCCTGCTAGGGTCAAAACGAATTGAGATAGGAAGCTAAAATTTTGCACAGATCGGTCTTTTGTCTACAGGTAGGTCAGGTTCGAAGATGGGCTATATCGGTCCACGGTATCGTATAGCCCTCATTTCTTCAATGAAATTGTCTGAAAATCCGTAAAAGGAATTCCTTTTTAGTATTTTACTTCCTGGAAGAGTATTGTCTATATAGGTCCACGATAACGGTACCTCACCGATATTCGTTATTTTGACGATTTTAGAGACATTATATGTCGTTTCAAATTTCGTATTTAAAATTCGTAATCGGTGCTATAGCCCATGACAAAAATTGCGTATGCAGGACCACGTCTCGTATAGCCTCCATAAAACGGTACCTCCTTGTATTCGGTAGTTTTATGATTTTAGCTACATTATTTACCGGAATTGTTTCAAATTTCGCATTTGAAGTTCCTAATACTTACTAAAGCCTGTGACAGAATCTTGACCTTGCAGGTCCAGGTTATACCATAGCCCCCATATAACAATGTTTCCCTGTATCCGGTATTTTGTTGATTTCATCGACATTATTCACCGCAATGGAGGGTATTAAAAGTTCTGTATATCCGGTATCTTCGCTGTCATTATCAATGCAACGATCAAGTTAAAAATTTAAGTATTTGAGATTATTCAGGATTACCCAGTTCGATGGGATTTTTTTTATGATATGACTTCGATAAGAATTATATCAAAAAATATTTATTGGAGCCGGACTGGAGTTTCACCTAATGGAAAAGTTCGGTTAAATATAAATAAATACAATTTGGGCTGATATAACATATATGGCGACAATAACCATAAAATCGGATGAAGATATATATCGAAGCTATATAAACATTTAAACCGACATCGATAACATTTGGCGGAGGTATTTTCGAGATATATCTTATGCCCGGTATCAAAAATCATTGATGTGGAGTGTATATTACGCATGTGAGAGACTTAAACCCCAAATCGGATATAGCATATATATGGGAGCTATAGCCATATATGAACCGATTTTCTCCAAATTTGATGTACTTTTTTCTAGACTGAATTCTGTCAGATATGCCAAAATTTAAGTCATTTGGGCTGATATAAACCATAAACCTGAAATCGCATAAAGATATATATGGGAGCTATATTCAAATCTGAACCGATCTTGACAAGATTTAATGCACTTATTTCTGAGTTGTATCTGATATTTAGTACTAATGATCATTGTTGTGCAGTGCATATTACGCATGCGAGTTACTTAAAACCACAAATCGTATATAACAGCTATATCTGAATCGATTTTCTCCGAATTTAATTTACTTATTTCTAGATTAATTTCGGTCGGATGTGCCAAAATTTAGGTTGATTGGACTGATATTGGTCATTTCGTGCACAATTTACCCGAAATCCGTAGAAGATATATATGGTAGCTATATCTAAATTTGAACCGATTCTCACCAATTTCAATAGGGTTCGTCCTTGGACCAAACAAATGTTGTTTGGAAAATTTTATCTGAATCGGATAATAAATGCGACCTGCATTTTGTTCACAAAAATACATGGACAGGCGGAGGGACAGACTGAAGGACGAACAGACGGACTTAAATGTATAAATCGACTCAGAAAGTGATTCTATGAAGATCCTCATTTAGCGATGTCCGTCTGCCTGTCCGGCTATCTGTCTGTTGTAATCACAGTCGCTTTCGAACGATTTAAGATGGAAGGCTTAAATTTTGCACACATAAATATTTTGCCAGGAGGCAGGTTAAGTTTGTAAATGGGCCATTTCGGTTAACGTTATCGTATAGCCCCAATATAACGTTACCTCCCGATATTCGGTATTTCAATGATTTTAACTGCATTATTCAACCGAATTGTTTCAAATTCGAAACTCGAAGTGTGTTATTGGTACTACAACCTATGCCTATGAATTTTGTTTGCAGGTCCACGTCTTCGTATAATCCCCATATAATGATTATTCGGTATTTTGATGATTTTAGTGACATTTTTCACCGGAATTGTTTCAGATTTGTTATTTGAAGTTCATAATCGATACTACAGCCTATGACAGAAAATTATCTGTAGAGGTCCAAATCTACGGTATTTCCCGTAATATTTTAAATTTTTTCAAGTTCCTTCCAAATGGTGAAGGGTCGAACTTAGCTGCTTTTTACTTGTTATATTTGTAATCTCTCATAATCTTCTGGACATTTTCTGTAATTGTACTGTGTAATAGTTCAATTATTCCGTAATATTTGCAATTCGCCCTTCCAAATTCCTTCCCCCTTTTTATTTAAGGAGAGTAATAAAACAAAATCGATTCCTTAAGTCCTGTGAATAAATATAATCATTCCCCTGCCATGCGGTCCATTTAGACATACATTCCGATTATGATTATTATTTGAGGTTAGAAAAATCATTTACATTGCATGTTTAGCTTACTTAATCCGCACTCTCTAACATTTGACACACAAAATCACCCGCCCACGTACACACGCTCCCACTCATACCCATTCATCAAACCTCAATGAGTCTTAAGTCTACTTATATGCGAAATTGACTGTCGACATATGTCAAATTGTTTGTAGATATGGATATGGAAGCTGGCTGCTAAATAAGTAAGTGAACTGTTTTTCTTTGCCGCCCAAAAGAAATCACCTGCCAACCATAAACCGACCAAAAAAAAAATGCGAGAAAGAAAGAAGAAACAATGGAGTGGCTTTTAACATGCCCAGAGGAAATGAATAGATGACGAAGGAGATGGAAATGATGTGGGAGCCATAGGAAGAAACAGAAAAAAATCTAAAAATACAAACTTACCCGTGCTAAGGACCACAGCTGCCATTATTGTTAGCATTAAGCGTCTTAGGGGCATTTTAATGTTTTGATACACACCACGACAGCCAACATCACTGCCACCATGTTGCATGTTGGGTCTGGACGTTGAGAGTGATGACGATGGCGATGGTGGCGATGATGATGATACTGCTGACGATAACGATGGCAACGACGAAGACGATGATGATGATGACGAAGACGACGCTAAAGATGACGACAGTGTTTGGTTTTTGTGATGTCCTGTTTTTCTTCTCCTGGATATTATTGTTGTTGTGTTTGTTATATTTTCTATTTTTGTTGTAGTTGCTGCTGCCACTTGTGCAGCCCCACCATCTTTGACCATTACGTTTACTCTACTCGTTAGTGATATTTGTTCTCCTGACATTGATGTAAGTGATGGCGACGATGGTGTTGGCATCACCTCTGGTGTTTCACTGTTGACTGTGATGGTGGAGACTGCTTCAGAGGAGTCTGCTGCCTTGACCTTACAACACATTCGCCTCGAGTAGCAACGTTCTTGGTTGGCATTTTTCTTATTTTTATAAGACATCGTCGTTGTGTGGCTGCCAGCCATTGTCGAACAGAGTTGGGAGTTACAAAAGCAGTTGATTGCGTTGGTGGAGCAACAGCATTGATGGGATTTCTTGGAGGCGTTACTCTCGTTGGCGTTGCGTGCTGTTATAATCGATGGCAAGGAAATGGAGATAAAATTCTTGTAAATGTTATTGTGGATGGTGGTGTTGCTGTTGTTGTCGCTGGTGTCGTCGTCAGCCAATGTTGCGGCGGATGTCGTTTTTGATGTTGTTGGTGTAACTGTTGGTGCGGCTGTTGCTGTTTCCGTTGCCGTTGCTGCTGTGGTGGTTTGAACATTTGTGCCACTTGTTATGGCTGTTGGTGTTGTTCCAACTGATGATGCCAGGGCTGCCGATGCCACAGTTAGTGGCTCTGACACATTGGCCTCCAACGTTGCCGTGGCCATTGCCTTCTTCGCCTCCGTTGTTTTTATGCCATTGGGTTTTCTTGTTAAACTTCGTTGGAAATTCATTTGGACGACACTAGTTGTTTTTTTCTCTTCTTCTCGGGGCAAATACTTGTTAACTTTATAAAATAGTTTCTTTTGCTTGGTAATTTTTTCCCAACATCGTTAGGTGGTGTCGGATTTTTTTTCTCTTAATCTTTTCCTTTGTATTTGGTTTTTATAGATTCTCTACAACTTCCGTTGTTGTGGGGCTTTCCTCCACTTTAGTCCCCTCTCCCACTCACTTATTTGTTGCCATCAATGGAATCATTGTTCCCATAGATGTGCTCCAGGTTCATATTATATACGGACAGCATATGGTGTATTTTGTTGTTCTTCTTGTTGTGGATGTTGTTTTTCCTGCTTCCTGTGAAAGAATCAAAAGGTAGATAGAATAAATAATTGATCCTGGCTAAGTTTTCATTGAAACCATGATTTATATTCAGTGTTGAAACTATGGTTTTTATTAGTTCGACATTACTTTACAACAAAATGGAAAAAAGAAGTGATAAAGAAGAAGAAAAGGAAAAAAATAATCGCAGCAAACTCATTTAAAGTCACCTGCTGTTATTAGTTGCTGCTGCTGCAGGTGGTGCTACATGCTCAGCATCATCTATTCGCTTATTTATTTACTGAAATGTCAAAGGGCAATTGGTTTGTGGTAATCGCAATCATATTTGAAATCAGATGGTTTATTTGTAATGGGTTTCAATATGAAAGGGACTAAGGTCAGCGGGTTTTATCAGAACATGAAAAAAAAAACAAAAAAAAAACAGAAATTGAAAAAAAGGATTTCAGCAGTCGCCAGGATACCAATTAAATTCTACAAAAAATAATAAACAACCAAACTTTTTTTCAATAATTATAGAAAGAATCCAATAGATTGTGAAAATAAGAAGACACCTGCATCGTATACCTGAGAGAAAATCCATTTTTTAATATTTCCACGTAATGAATTCTTTGAATCATTGCATATTAGGAACATAGCGTCTTTGAAAAATTTCGGATTACAATACAAGAATTTTTTTGGTAGAAATCCTCAAAAAAGTCACGAAGGTGTTTTATGGGTCCTTCTTTCAAAATATAGTTAACAGCTGCTATTAAATGGTTTCGTAAGAAGTCACTACATTTGTCCGTCCGTCTGTCCATGTTAATTTGTAATCACTCTACAAGTCGCAATTATTGTCCGATCTTCACGAAATTTAGAATGAGAATAGAAGCTTATTTCTTTTGGAGATAATCGCATGATATTTAGGGGTTGAAATGGATAAAAAAAAACTGTTGCAGTTGCTCTACAGGTCGCAATTATATACCAATCGAAGCGGAAGTTAGCATGGGGCTAGCACTTAGGGCTGTGCAGAAGGCTTCCGATTTTGATGGTCATCGGGTAATATTTAGTGGGTGAAATAGGCCACAACATTTATGTTAAATAAAAGTCAAATTTTCCATTAAACCGCGAATATTTTTAATCTCGGCGAAATCACAAATAGATGAACAGGTCAATTCTGACCGTTACGTAGATGCCGATAGTAAATATATAGGATATATATATATATATATATATATATATATATATATATATATATATATATATATATATATATATATATATATATATATATATAGAGAGAGAGAGAGAGAGAGAAATATATACCATGTATATATACAAAGCAAGGCGAAATTAGCTAGAATGCTTATATCTCAAGAATAGCTGGACCGATTTAGACAAATCTTGTCGATTCAGAATGGCCTCTTGACATAAAAGATTAAAATCTAAAAAAGTCGGATAAAAAGATGCCAACAATGAGAAAATATATTTTTCATAGTATTTTGTGATATTTTTTTATTTATTTTATATTTCATATTTTTTATCGCATGCGATTTTTTCAGTTTGACTACAATATTGAAATATACATTTTGTAATATTTGTTCACCTTCCAACACAGGTTGGGGTTATTATGTAAGGATTGCAAATATCATCCGATCCTCACGAAAATTTTCACAAGAGTAGGGTTAGGCTCACAAGGGTTAGGCCTATTGTTTTCTAAGATGTCCACAATATATTAGGGGTTGAAATGGACAAACAACTAAAAATGTTTCTGATTTTGCAGCCGTTATAAAGTTCACAAAATGGAAACCAAAGGACACAAAATCTCACATGGAGTTAGAGTTTAGGACAGCGGGTAGAATGAACCACTACTTTTGTGGGAGGAAATACCAACATTTCCATTCTACCGAAATGCTGAAAATAACTTAACTTATATCCAAAATACATAAAATGCGAATTTCTGGCTTTTTTATGCTAAATTCGTTGACGAATATACCCAGATATCGCGGACAAGCAAATCATATATATGAGTCTAAATTTGGAGATATAGAGGGACTTCTTGCTTTTGGAGATGATCGCAAAATATTTAGGGGTTCAAATTAACTAAAAACAGAAATGTTTTTCCGATCACACAATTGAAGACAATCGACACGCCTTTGAAGAGAGTTAAGGACAGGGAAGAATTCTAGCATTTTGGGTGACCATTGGATTATATTTATCTGTAAAATGGACTACAACTCCTAACAGCCCGATGGAGTGCATAAATGTTGGGCAAATGTCCATAGTCAAAATCCTAATTTCAAAAGAGAAATCTTCCATTATGGATTTGGACATAAGGGGCTTTTAACATATGTAGTGTTGTAGGGTATAATATAGTCGGCCCCGCAATGAAGATATCAAAAGCAAAACTATTCTTCATCAAATATTACTTTAAGTCGATACAGATAAGAAATATATATCTAAAATATATGTCCATAAAATATTTGCATCAATATTGCCCAAAACAAGTTAAACAGTATCAGTCGGGCTTGCCGACGGAGGTATAACCACAGCCAATGTTCGATTATTGAAATATATTTTTACTTCTGTCATGATTATTCACATTTTTAACCCGGTATGGAGTAGGCTCTGAAGCAATGGGCATATATTGCCCATTTCATATTGGACCTAAATAAATATGATGAAATTTCGACGTGCCAAGTATGGACTCTATTGGTTATCTCTTTCACTTTATAAGAGATATGTGATAATATTTAGAAAATGTTGAAATGAGCGTGAAGTACCAGATATAGTCGACCAAAGTATTTCATTTGCATACATCATCTAATACAAATAAAATCATTGGTATAAGCCAAATTACAAGAAAATCGAACATTTGTATCCAATTTATGGAAAATCATAAATTTCATATTCATCTCAGATTTCTGGCAAAGAGATATGTATTTAGATATAACAAGTTGCGAAGAATCGCTGGACAGATATATTTTATCTTAATACCAGACATTGGGTTTATAAAAATATTGGTATGTGTGAAATTTTAAGACAATCGGATTCTTAAATCACATTCTTAAGAGTTATAATTATTCAAAATGTTTACCCTTTGTGGGGGAGGCCCTTGATGGAGTGGGTCGATATTATCGATTTTTGCAACTGACCTAGAACTGACGCAGATAATAGGATTTGCAAAGTTGGAACAAAATCGGATTATTTCTTCTCTTTCTGTGCAGATAATATTTTTTTTTTTTTTGAAAAATTCGACCTTTTGTGGTGGAGAAGTGGACCAATGTATTCCATCTTGCCACCAAACGTTGGGTTAATAAAATTATTGGGATGTGTAAAATTTGAAGACAATCGGACTCTTACGCCACATTTTTATACCCTACACCACAAGGTGGTCAGGGTATTATGTCTTTGTGCATTTGTTTGTAACAGGCAAAAGGAAACGAGATAGACCCATAGTTGCTTTTGATGATCTGCATAGTATCACATTCTGAGTCGATTTATGCATGTCCGTCCGTCCGTCTGTCCGTCCGTCCGTCCGTCCGTCCGTCCGTCCGTCTGTCCGTCTGTCCATGTATTTTTGTAAACAAAGTACAGGTCGCATTTATTGCCCGATCCAGATGAAATTTTGCACAGATCATTTGTTTGGCCCTAGGACGAACCCTATTGAAATTGGAGATAATCGGTCAAAATTTAGATATAGCTCCCATATATATCTTCGTCCGATTTGCCTTTTATTGTGCACCAAACGTGTAATATCAGGCCGAATTATATGGAATTTTGCACATACAACCAAATTAGGCCTGAAAATATGCATGCCAAATTTGATCGAAATCGGTTCAGATATAGCTATAGCTCCCATATATATTGTTCATCCGATTTGTTATTTTTGTCCACCGCCGCCGTAATATGCACTCTGCAACAACAATATTTAGGGAAATATAACAAATACAGCTCAGGAATACATTTGCAAAATTTTATCGAGATCGGTTCAGATTTGGATATAGCTCCCATATATAACTTCGGCCGATTTAACTTTTATTGTGCACCAAACGTCTAATATTTGTCCAAATGGGATGGAATTTGGCACATACGACCGAATTGAGTCTAGAAGCTAGTATGTCAAATTTTGTGAAGATCGGTTCAGATATAGCTATAGCCTCCATATATATTATTCATCCGATTTGTTATATTTGTTACCCACAACCGTAATATGCACTCCGTAACAACGATATTCAGGGAAATATATCAAATACAGCTCAGAAATATCTTTGCCAAATTTTATCGAGATCGGTTCAGATTTGGATATAGCTCCCATATATATATTTATCCGATTTCAAATTAATTGTGCACCAAATGGTCAATACAAGTCCGAATTTAAAAGATACAAATGCTTCGGCATGTTTAGTCCTTTGAACTTTAAATTATAATTATAATCATAGCGTGTATGATTGAATTCTCCCATAAAAACTTTTAATTGTTATGTGGAGCTCTACTAAATTAGCAAAGTGGTGTAGGGTATCATAAAGTCGGCCCCGCCCGACTTTAAGACTTTCTTTACTGGTTAAGAGTTGTAATTATTCAAAATTGTTTCCCTTCGTGGGGGAGGTTCTTGATGGAGTGGACCGATATTGTCCATTTTCGCACCTGATCTAGCACTGATGAAATTATTACGATTCGCAAAGGTGGAGCAATATCGGATTATCCTTTTCCTTTCTGTGCAAAAAAAAATATATTTTTTGAAAATTTCGACCTTTTGTGGGGGAGGTACCACAAGGAGTGGACCGATATTGCCCATCTCCGAACTCGATCTGAGTTTGACAAAAATATTACGATGCTCCAAGTTTGGATTAAATTGAATACTCCCTTCGAGAGTTATCGTGCGCACCAGCCAGCCAGACAGACAGACTGACGGGCGGATGGACATCGCTAGATTGACTACAAATATCCTGAAACGTATTTGGTCCAAAGAGATCTAGGGTCTAAGATATCAATTGATATATACCCTCTCTGGTCATATGGC